GATTTAATGAGTTACCTATTACAACTCTTAAACAACTTGTCGTAGTAGTTGTTAAGCGTGCGTATTTTTTTTTCTAATTGGTACCTAGTAAACTTCGTGTCAAAGCATGGTACTGTAATTATAAGGTGGGAGTTCGAAAAGCACTTTAAAAAGTATGCTTTTTAATATAAGCGCACAAGAACTCAGTTCACAGTTCAATACTTAACAATTTAATTTTTTACAACCTGCTTAACAGTCAACTCCCGCCATCTATGTTTACTTAATGAATTAATTTGTCAATGTGAATCATAAAAATAAAATTCGTAAATCGAAAATAAAATTATTTACTCGAAAACCTTCAGGGTTCTAATCTCGTTTTACGTTGTCAAAAGATATTTTTTTAACTTATAACTTATATGGGCTTAAACGTTTTTAGTAAACTATTTTATAAGCTTTAAACTAAAAAGCGTTTAAGTAAACAGTCCGTTTATAAGCTCGCTTTTTTAAATTAAAATAACATTTTAAGGTTTTAAATTTATAAGCAGTTTTTCCCTTCTCTAACTGAAAGAAGTTGTTTTATAGTAGTTCTCATATTGCTTACTAGATGGCGTTACGCGATCCAAATAGTCAACGTGAGGAAAAAGCGAGTTATGGTTTTTCTTAATCAAAACATTGTCCGTATATTATGTTTTGTAATAGTACAAGTTCTTATTTGTAATGTATATAATCTGCTCGCTGTTTGGTTATACATTTTCCTTCTTATTAAATGTGTTCGCTGATCACTTCAATTATGACGATGAAATTCAATGGGACTTTAAATTTTATCTTTAAATGCTGTTATTGTGTCGTGAAATGTATTGAAAATGACATTGACTTTCCATTTAAATAAAATATATATACATATATACTCAAACGTTATATTACTGAAAAGTTATATATATATAGCAATCCAAAGGGAGAACGCTGCCAGCATCTTCGGCACCTTGCCGCGGGGACCCAATTTTATTCATATAATTAAAAATCGTAGTTTTAGTTTCTAGTACTTATGCTTTTATTGTCTTTTTTACCTTATCTGTATAATATCTTAATTAAAACCCAGTTAAATAAAAAAAATTACAAATTACTTGTGGGGGTAATTACAACCCTTACAACAACCAATTATTTTAATTAGGAAGCTTACAGCTGCTAAGTTAAGCTTACAGAGCTTTCTATACTATGTTTTATAAAGTATAACCTGAATATAACGTCAACGTACCATTCTACAAGCTTCACCTTATAGAAATAGCTGCAGAGAAAACAAGAGAAAAGAAAAATACTAATTAATGCGATTGGGATTCTAAATATATTGCTGATTTTCTTTTATCGTTTGCTCCCTATCTGTATGGCGAGTATTCCGTCCGTCCTAACTTCATCTTTGAACTGTCAAAGTTGCCGCGTTCGCAAAAAACAATAGCGCAGGCGCGAGGGAGTAGAGCGGAGTGATATTGCGTGTCGCTCTCGCCGAACGAGGTCTGCGGGTCGCGGCTAACCTTCGGCGCGAGGTTTGCGGCGGGAAAAATGTGTGTTTCGGTGTGCCGATAGCGGGGCGCCGCAGCTCCGCAGCCCCGCCCAGTGCCGCCACGCCGCCACGCCGCCGCCGCCGCCGCCCGCCGCCGCTAACGCGTCTTGAGCCACTTAGTCGCTAAGACGACGCGCACATTGCTCCGCTCCAGCGGATTCTGACGAGGGTTTCCATGAACAAGGCGGTTTTACAAAGAATGATTCCTTTGAATATGGAATGTAGGTTTTGTATATCTTTAGGAGGGATTTTGAAATTATTAAATGGCTGTATAGTACATTACTCAAAAGTTATTAGAAAGAGAACACGCCTTTGTTGGAATTTTTGAAGGGTTACTTTTAAAGAAAATAAGTAATTCATAATTGTTTTTAACATTTTTGGAGAAATTATTTTGATATCTGCAATGGCTATTTTAGAAGTTCGAATAGTTTCGGATATGTTTTTGTAAATAGGGAACAGTAGATTCATTGGAATCATAATTCATCTGTTTAAATGGATAATAGAGACGTTTATGTTTCTTGTATGTTACGTCGAACAATTTATGTAGAGATCTTAGAAGGACGATAATGCCTGTGAACGCTGTCTTATCTTCCGGCCAGATATGGAGCCGCGAGCTGTCAAAATGGAGTGGGAAAAAAGGCGGGAATGCGGCGTCGCTTTATGTGAAGCTCGTCATTGCGCGAAACAGGGAGAGCGCTATAGCAGATCGAGAGTGGGAACGGGATAGAGAATATAACGTGGTTTATAAGAAAACCCAAGACGTTGGGCGTGTTTGGCGGGTGGGCGTGTGGGTTCCGGGGTTGTAGTGGTAACGGGCGCATGTATGGGTGCGTATGTACAAGCGGCGTGTGGTTACACGCCGTAGCAGTGTGCGTGCTCATCCTTTTGTCAACGATACTAGTCTGTATCGGTTTCAGGCTTTAGTTATTAAAGTGCGCTGTTAAATTTTACGAGGATATGAAATTTCCATTGTCGGCCGGCTGAGAGCTTTAAAGACCTTTATGTGCCGGTATTCGATATTTGGAGCACACACACGTCTTGTTTGTTCATAGATTATATTATTAAACACTTTATGAGTAAACTTTGATGTTCGAGTACCAAAGGTCATTTAATCAAATAACACTCAATATATGTCGTCTTATTTTAGCTAGTCTCAAAGTTATAGTGACAATATGATTATCAAATTCCGCTCCATGATACATTTTGTATCTAATATGGGGATTGGGGATTTTGGCAAAACATACTTTTGTTTACAAACGTAGTGAGTCCTACGGCGTAGTATATATATTTTGATTGACCGTAACTTTTATTCTTAAATGAAATGTCTTTGCGTAGACAATTTCGGTAGATAAGTAAAAATATGTAAGACGACTCAAACTACTGTTCTTATTATGATGTGGTTTTGGTTCAATGACCGTAATTTCACTTGACTTTATTATAGCAATACAAAATGAATCGATTATGTATCTAAAACATCGTAGTTAATATTTATAAAATACCAGCTGTATATTTACACATACATATGAGTTCTATTCAACCTTTTGTTTTGATAGTCTATTGGACAAATCAGATGTGGCTGATGCTACGCGCCGCCGTAGCAAGTTCGTAGCACTTTTGACAGTTCAAATCGGGATGGATTAAGATGATACTGAAATTGTTCATCTAGATTCAAATACTCTATGAACAGCTTCATTTCACAGTTTAGTAAAGTTGAGAAATAAATACTATTACTTTTTAATTAATGCTATTTTTTTTTGTCTAGCTTTTGCCATTATTATACAAAAAAATGAGAGAGATTTTTTCGTAGCTTTGCAGGTCGATGTGAGTATTAAAAGTTGTACCATCCAATTGGCAAAAGTGAGATTTGAAAAAATGTCTAGTAAAAGCAAGAAAAAGGGGTGCAGACAATCAAATTCCTTTGTGCGACAGAAGCAAAACTGAATATTAAAATTTTTCCTCGAATCTTTTGTCCTCCCGAAACAAAGGCGAAGTATTTGAGGCCCTTTGGAGGCGTGCGGCGACATAAGGCTGGGCTTTCGTTCACCTAACTATCTCTTTTAATACTTATTTGCACGCGCACAGCCGCCCCGTGTCGCGGCGCGCCCCTCTCTCTGTGTGCGAACTTCTTTCGCCGCCCCTCTGTGTGCCGGCGAATTTCTTTCGAGACGTAATAAGGGGACCGTTTCTTTCCCACTAAGGTTTTAATGTCGACCACGTTTCGGTGGCGGACGCGCGCCTCCTCGCGGTTACTTGGCAAACTTTTTTCTTTTTTGACACTGTGCGGACTTTGTGTTTTTGTGTTCGGCCGAGGATTTTCTTTTCTGGAAGAGATCCACATGGCTTTTTTGTTTTGAGGTATGAGAATTATCTGTTCGTCTTATTTTGAAAAACTTTTTTTATAATATTTTTCTTAGAAACTAAAATCTTTGAAATTATATGACGAAACGTCAACTGCCACGACACGAGAAGCAGTAAAAGACGAATGTGCGGCGAGTTGTGTAAGTTGCGAAACTTGGCGGGTGGTTGGCGGTTGGCGGCTGGCGGTTGAGGCGGCGGTAGTTGGCGGGCCAGACCGCAGGCTCATTAACCCGGCGCGATCAGATGTGCGCCGCGATAACTCCGTGCTACGCAACTTTAATTACGCTAATTCTATTTCGTATTACCTACTTCATAAAAGTTTAGTATGTAACTTTCACATCATATATTATTATTACAAATATTAATAAACAAAATTCTATAAAGAAAATACTTATTAAACTTCGTAAGTACAGTGTAACAAATACTTAAATTAATAAATGTAATTAGACTGTGAGACTACACACATTTCAAAAAACTATCTCAAGTAACGAAATTTGATTGTGGCTTGTTTGTTTGTTTTTTCATAAAAGTAAATGTAGCCAATATCAATAAGACATTCAAGTACAGTATATTGTTTTGCGGGCGCGATTTGGTGGCGGGTGCGGCATCGGTCGGAAACTTGTTAAAAAGCGAGCAAACTCCCATTAACGCGTTGCTCTCCCGAACTTCACCTGTAATTGTACCTAAACGTGATACTTTGTTACCCTTAATACAAATATACGTAATAATAGATAAATGTTACTGGCTAACTTTAACACTTAAGTAATATTTTCAGTTTTTCACTTTTGTTTGCCAATTTAACTTCTCATTTATCTTTGTACAGTTTTAAATTATAATTGACATAAAGGAAAACTCTTTACTCTGGGACTTAATTGAAGTAGTTAATTTATAAGAGTTATATATATATAATATAAATTTATGCGACAATAAGTTAAATCAGACACACTTCCACCGCTTTGATATCGAATTAAATTCCCTTTGTCAAAATCTCTAACAACGTTTGATTTTTAATTTACGTTCGGAAGTGACAAATCGGAGTCACAATAACAGGGGGAAATAAGGAACCCTGCTTGTTCAAAACTCGTGTACAGTCCACCAACCACACACACCCTTCTTGAACCTTAATTCTATATAAATAAGCTCAAAGTTAGAGTAACTTTAATTCACGTACGCTGCGGTGTGGTGTACGGCTGGCGTTCCAATTCTCTCGTTTGTATTTGGAGCATCTGGAGTTTTGAATTTCACGCCGCCTCACCCTTTGCTAATGACGTCATCGTGCTGCTAAGAGGTAAGAGTTAACGTAAATTACACGTGATGCATGCTTCCTATTCATCACACCAACGGAAAGTATAAATAACTTTAATACAATACTTTTATTTGGTTCCAAATACTTTTGTCAAGTGTCCTAGAGACACGTGGTGTCGCTAACGCGCAGCTGTGTTTACATCCATCATTTAAAAAAAAATGTATATAATTTGCTCTAGAATGCTTACGTACCTAAAGTGTTAGGGACACCGTGTGTCTCTTGGACGCGTAATAGTTTAATAGTGCATAATGATCATGGTCCAGGAATATTAGTCTGACGTTGTATATATTATGAGTCAAGCAGTTGCTGTTTTCACTGAGATTTTTTGTTTAAAGATGCAAGGAAATGGTACACATATGTTTGCAAAAGTATATTACAAAAAAGCGGGAAAGTGAATAAATTGTGCGTAAGTAACTTTAAAAAATATATTTTTTGACAGTAGACCTTTTTAAAAAATAATTTAAAAAACAGACACTGAAAAAACGAATGGACGACGCGGCTGTATGGCATTTTTCTTTAGTCATGATGTTATACCATTCTAAGGTTATACCTATATGTGGTCAAAGAATGGATTGTCGTACGGATTTCGTGGATTGGATGGAAAGTAATTTGTTTTTAATTTTGTAGTGCGGCTAAATTTAGGCTCTTTACGCGTTCTTTGTTCAAAAGGAAAGCGAATAATTCCGAGCATGTTCGAGAAAACACGATATTTTTTTCCATTACAAAATGGCGGGTTTTTGTGTTCACATTTTATAGAAGATTTCGTTTTTAGTCTGTTACATTTTTCACATTTTGGGTCTTTTCATTTTTTGTGATCTTTGTTACCTGATGGCATTGTAGCCAACAAATAAATATTCAAATCAGTTCTATTACATTGTAACATAAACGTATATACTATATCAAAGTGATGTACTTTAGACAAAAGTATCGTATATCAGAATATTAATAAAGACTAGAAAACAAAATCCAACACCATTACGCTATTCTCAACTTTCCACAATTTCACTTTTGTTGTTCGAAATTACTTCGAAAGAGATTTTATTTATGGTATAAAACATTTAATTTAACCCCGGCAAACCGATGGGTTTAATAAATGACGTCAGAGACGACGATGCCAACGCGCTGGCGACGACGTGGGCGCATTCCCGCAATTCTTATTTAACTGCTTGATTGCGCGCTGTTGTTTATTGACACTGATATTACGCGGGGCCGTGTCACTACACAAAGATTCACTTTCATATTTAGGTAATGCTCACTATAAGTTTAATTGTTATACCTACTCAATGTAAGATAATAATGTTGTTTATTTTCTCCCATAATAAATTATTAAAATGGAACAGAGCTTAAATATTAATCTTTATAGAGAGATAGGAGACTAAACTAGGAAAGTATAAGCTAACGTTAAAAACAGATAGGGTCAGAATTTATAAATAATTATTATACCTCATTTACAGACATGAATATACAAGGATCAGACGCGCTTTGTTCTGAATTGTTAAATAACAAGTCGGTGCGTCGAATTATATTATACTTTGTTATTTTTTTTTAAATAAATAAACAATGTATCTATCACTTTGATTTCTTCAGTGACTCTAAGTGGGTATAAAAACTTAATAGACAGCCAAAGAAGAATTTATATTTAAAAATTTCTGTGCAGAATGGACTTTCTGTAGACTCTAAGTTAGGTAGGTAAACAATTTTAGTAAATTTGTTCGACATTTTTACGAGTTGACGCTGCCGAGTGACACCTGCCAAATATGCCGAATATCGAACATAAAAACAAATATTCATAAATAATAAACAATAATACATTTCAAGTTATTACTTGACTATATTACACTTAGACTGGATAACACCTCTTTCTGATCCCGGAATTATTGAAAATAAAGCGCACAAAATCAAAACAAAATATTTATATTTTTTCTGTAACGTTTTTACGATACTATATGACGGGAAGAGCAAGTCGTGCGCCTGGTGGTAAGCGACACGTCTGTCATATATAATTTCACCAACACATTTACCCTTCCAAACCGAAACGTAGTAATGCTCACATTACTGCTTGGCGGCAGAAATAAGTACGATGGCAGTACTTCCCTGGACGTACTCTTTCACAATGAGCTCTACTGCTCGAAATCATCACCTGATGTACAGTGACGACGAGGATGACGACGGAGCATACACACCTAAATATTGCCTATTCATTCTCGCTTTGAAAAGGCCCAAGTTTAGCGTTTAGGGTATAAGTCCACTCCAAAGCCATTAGCAGTTGATATGTTCATGAAAAATACCGGAAATCATCCGGCACACGTTCTGAGAATGTCTAATGTCAGTCCCTAAACATAATGTAATGTAGTTTACACGTTAATCCGAAGAAGGAACACATCAGTCCATTTAGAGGCTTTAAATTCACACCGTAACAACGAGTAACTTCCAAATCAGGATGTCCGAAGACGTCTTAAACATTTGAATGTCTAACGGATAGGACCGGACATGGCGGATATTGCATTTGCTTGCCCATTTGTAACCGTACCGGGGACGGGGGAGCGTCAAATGACCTTTGAAGGGTTACAAAATGCCTCTACGTTTTAGTACATACAGTGTTAAGATGAAATTTGAAAAAAAAAAAACAGACGCATAAGTAAATACTATTTCTGCAAAATGACAACTTTTCAATGGTATTTGATAATTAAAATTTCTACGAACGAAATTAGTCCGTACCTTTTTATGCCTAAAAAGGAGCTTATAGCTCAAGTACTAAACTTAAAATTCTAAATCTGAAATGATCTATACTTTTCTTCCGTCAAAGTGTAAGTCAAATCACCACGAATGTGCTGATGGCGGAAATAAGTGCCAGATCATAATATGTGGCTTTGTTATACCAACAACGGTGACACGTAATCCCATTAAATTTACAACTAAAAAAAGAAATGATATAATATGATATATTATAATATAGGTCAACGTTATGTAACGTACCGAGGAGATGAGCAGTATAGCAAAAAGAACACAATAATAACCAGCAAGTTTGGAGTAACATATTTTTATTTTAATTATTAATACAAAGATCGAACACTCAGAGAAAATTCCTTCGATCCGGTCGGATTAATAATTATAACAAACTAGTGGAGTAATTTCACAAAAAATAATTGAATATCAATTCAATAAAAATTTAATTAATGTTTTTATTTATTTTATTTTTTTTATTTATGCACGATAATTTGTTTATTTTTTACATAATGTTAACATCCTATAATAAGTACTTACTAAGAGAGAAAAGAGAATTTATAACTATTAGTCTAATACAAGTTTTTCAAATAAATTCACAGACATACTTGCCAAATCCGCTGAATTGTAATATTGCATATAAAGTGTTATATGCGAGAGAATGGGCATTGCCATCTGCGATTAGTACGATATTTTGGAATGCAAAAAAACTTCCGAATAATATTTCTCTGTGGTCGATTTGGAGCGCTGACCTGAACTTTTCTTGATAAATCTGGACAATTAAAAACCCCAGTGACGAATTTCTTAAAAAAAAACTAAGTCGTGCATTTTGTGTCTTATGTCAACGTAAAATGGTTCAAACGATTATTTCATCAACTGTACGATTATTTATTCAAATTGTTAAACTTACCATAGTCAATACGGGTAGAGTCGATCAGTATCCGAAAGCTAGCGCGGTGGAAGTGCCCCTTATAGTTGGTCCAGATGAACAGGCTATTATCTCAAAAACACAGATTTTTAGGAGAGCAATTTTATTGTTTCTTCTAGCATTATTACAGCCGCTATTGTTATTTGGTTCTACTCGCCTATACGTATTTAAAGCCTACACATTTAACAGTATTTTCGAATACTTCTTATTCTTATTCAGTTCTTTGTTTTGACAACGTCCTGAAATTGTTGAGAGAGGCCTATAATATTATCCTTTTGAACATAAAATATTTTGTGATCAGAGTTTTAACTAAACGCTTAATACTTTTAAATGAAAGAAAGAATAATATTCTGTTATTATTATAAAATTACTCTAGCCCGCACACGCTAAGTGAGGCAAATTGAAGCGCTCCCAAAGGGCCTACACAAGCGGGCGGGCCTTCAGCGCTCAAGGTCAACTTGCACCGCGATCAGCTCCAGAATTTTAGCTAAAAATGACGAAATGTGCGGTAAATGAGTGTAAAAATACGTCAGACAAACATAAAATAGATACTAACATCACATTCCACAAGAAAGTAACGTGTTTGAACTTGTATTTTTATATAAATATTCACTAAAACCGAAAATTAACCTACTACTAAAACTAGCCTACATGAATTTGATTTTTGCCTCCCTTGTAACAGTTCGTTTAATATGAAACTATCATTCTATGCGTTATTATTCTAAGGTTTTAGAAATAAATATTTTTATCTACACACATATTATACGCAAATTACGACCAGCATAAAGGTAAACTGTTTTGTTAGAACTAATTTCTTATCTGTGAAAATGTTATTATTGCTTCATGTTATTAACATCGAATTCTATGTTATTATTACATTCAAATTTCGAACATCTCTGAAAAACGAAACAATTTGAATCGACCTCAATTCTAATATTAGTCGAGGTGAAGTTTTATTCGAATTAAAATGTCTATAGCAAACAATTTTGACAATTTCATACGTTACTTGATAGCGAACGATACGATAGTTGACGCCGATTCTAGTTTGTCAATGAATTAAAAATAAAAACTACGGTTGTGTGACATGCGTGAGAAGTTTTTATTTGCCGCCATTTCGCCAGTCGTAACATGCGGTTCCTGGACACATCACAGTGAGATGTTTTTATGAAACTCGCCTGTCGGCTCGTTTCATAAACCCACACTCGTGTTTTAATGTCTTTCATTATGTAACAGTCACATAAACTATTGTTAAAATACACTTACCTTATAACGAACACATGCTGCGTTTTAGTTTTAATACCCTGTTCAACGAACGACGACGTCGATACGA